GAAGAAAACACGGTCTGGCAAAAGCAGAAGCACAGTCCTCTCCTCTATGCCCATTGCTTTCTTCAGCTTCAAGACCATGATATACACCTTTCGAGGGTTGGGGAGAGATTTGGACACACTCTCCTTTTCCATGCACCTCTTGCCTCCTGCAACGAGCTTGGGACACTACGCTTCGATGCTGAAGTTCCCAAACGTCTCGTAGGAGTAGAACCATCAGTAGAAGCTGAGCGACATGGTTGCTCAAAGATAACCATAACTCGATTGATATCGAAACATATACATTTATATATATATATATATATATATATATATATATATATATATATATATATATATACAAAGTCATTTGGTTAAAGGATCGGAGTTTCCATAATCCATCGAGAAGATATATACAACTCCAACAAAGAGCTAACTTAGAAGTTCAACATAGCGACATACAACTCATACGCAAAAATTCTCACTATCAAATTGTATTCCTGATAACGATAATGCTCTTATCCTACTTGCAACTCGTTGAAGAACCTGAAAAGCAAGTAAGATGAATGGAATGATCAATCATAGTTCAGTGAGTAATACATCTCTTCTAAGCAGATCGAACATTCACCATGCATCTTCATAAACCAATATCACAACTCACCAATTCTAAATCCATAATACAATATACGTAAAATATAAAAAATGAATGATATCTTTTCATCAAAACTTATTACATATAAGATCAATCAACAATATCAAATTCAATGGTCTATTCTAACTATAGTCACGCTTAATGCCCGTGTCAAAGGCAACCAAGTTTACCTTCTTCATTAGGTCTCCACCTATATCTGGTTTGGCCTAAAAGGGCATCTTGATAACAGTATGCATACTTACCCTCTCAATAGGATCTAATCATAACGACATGAGCATAATCCCCAATATCATTCTCCAATACCCACAAAACAAATCCACAACTTATTCACAAACCGAATTATATAACCTTTCACAATTACATTTATCAAATAGAATGCATTTCATAAAGTATTTAACAAATCAATACGTATAGCTTTTGGGAATTCCCTTCACAAAGCATTTAATCAAAACATTCACAAATGATCATTTCAAACTATTTCAAATAAGGCTTTCTAATGCCTTTTTAATTGACTAAAAAAGTACTAAAAGTTCAATCCAATTTATGCAAGAAATATGCTCTTTCATAACTCATACCATATTAAATATCTACCACTTTCAAGATATGAGTTTGTAAATTCCTGAAGAGATAGTACCATTCATTTGGAAAAATCGAAAATCAACTTACAATAGTTACTTAAGCTGATGCACTCCTATTCCTATCAATTAATAAAAAATGATATAAAAACTGAGTAATAAACTACTCTAACGAACGACTCGACTAAACTATACTTAATCGTCAATAAAATGAATTCCACACACTAACGAAGAAACTCGTTTATAACAAACGTTCAACTTTGCCCATTACGTGTATTGTCCATTATGTGTAACTCGCACACGAAACTTTAGAAATTCATTCTGATTAAATCGTACTTCAAAATCGATTTTCGTCAAATCACACAACTTCACAATGCCCTAAACTATCATTTCCATATATATCCATAACTCGATAACTTCTCAATTGAACCTCAGTTTAAAATTGACATAACTTCATATTTACGACCTCACTTCAAAAATTAATTCGGTTAGACGAATAATAGACTTGAATATTTAGCCGGTGTTGCAATTCGGAGTTGATTCGGTTTGTCAGGACATAGAAAATTTTCTCTCTCCTTTCCCCTTTTCCTCTCTTCATGGACGTGCTCCTTCTATTTTCATTTTCTTGTTTTGTCCACCGGACGCGTGCTAGAGTAAAGAAAGAAGATGGGCTGAGTTCGGCTTAAAGGAGACATGGGCTTGTACTTGCTAGGCCCATCTATTACAATATATATTTCTCGTTCATGTGACACCTAAGCCATGATCTAATCAGCTCGGGCATGGAGACTAGACTCGGACAGTTGGACCTCACTGTGACGCGAGCAATGACGATACTAAGCCGCCTCTCACACCGTGCTACGAACAGAAAGTCTCATCATCAATGTTCTCTCTCCCTCTATATAAGCGGCACCCTGCGTTCAGCTTGATTTTACCACGAAAAGCATTCTTCAGTTCTGTTCAAATTCCAAAAGCTTCAGCTTGTAGTGACAATTCAATGGCGGAGGAAGTGATATTGTTGGACTTTTGGCCGAGCGTGTTCGGGATGAGGGCCAGGATTGCCCTGAGAGAGAAGGGCGTGGAGTTTGATATGAGGGAGGAGGATCTGAGCAACAAGAGCCCCCTGCTCTTGAAGATGAACCCGGTCAACAAGCAAATCCCCGTCCTCATCCACGGCGGCAAGCCCGTTTGCGAGTCCCTCATCATGGTCCAGTACATCGACGAGACCTGAGGTCACGAGTCTCCTCTCCTGCCTTCGGATCCTTACGAGCGTGCCTGTGCCAAGTTCTGGGCCGACTACGTGGACAAGAAGGTGAGATAACAACTCCTTAATATTTCGAACATTTCCTTAGTAAGTGTGCTTAACATCAAGGCATGCAATGACTATGCAGTTATATCTGGCGCTGCGAACATTGTGGCCATTGACAGGGGAGGCCCAAGAGGCAGCGAAAAAGGAGTACATCGAGTGCTTGAAGTTGTTGGAGGGAGAGCTCGGGGACAAGGCTTACTTTGGCGGTGAGAGGTTCGGGTACTTGGATGTGTCGCTGATGCCGTTCTATAGCTGGTTCTATGCTTTGGAGACATTCGCCAACTTCAGCATCAAGGAGGAGTGCCCCAAGTTTGTGGCGTGGGCCGAGCGTTGCATGCAGAGGGAGAGCGTGGCCAAGTCGTTGCCCGACCAGTACAAGCTATATGACCTCCTCTTGGTGCGCAAGAAGAAGCTTCAGGCGCAATAAACAACTCTTTGAGTCTGTCTATTGCTCATCTCATCACTCTTTCGTTCAATAACCCCTCTCCTACGGAAGAGGCTAGCTCTTTTGGTACTTCTATGATTTCCTCTTTGTACTTCACGGTGTTTCTGGATCAGCTAAATAACTATATACACCATCTCACGAGTACTGTTTAGTATTATGTTCTGCGTTGTTTGCGCCGTGTACGTCAAATGAGCAATGGAAAGAAATCGATCGATTCGGTCGTCAATTACACGTAGTCTCGTGGGAGAATTTCTCCTCTTTCAAAATGTTCTCAATAGCAAATCCTCTAAAAGACAACAAATCTATTTAGCACGCGTTCACTCGACGGATGAATTTCACTCGAGTTACTAAGCCGCCTCCCCATGGCTAACTTAAAATATGCTATGGGTCCTTTATTTCTCTCTTGCTCGTGCGAGCACAGACACACACGACATATTTAAGACACATACAATGAATTTCTATGAGGAAATTTAAAGTGAAGCGAACAATGGAGGAGGTCTAAATGATGATGAAATGCATTTGAGGTGCTATGTGCTCGTGCAGGTGCGTCTGCGAGCGTTGTACCAGTATAATTGTTTGGGATGAATGACTGTTGCTGGCAAAACCCCTTAACTGCTATATGTCGGTGGGACAACAAATTTGCCTAGGCATTGTGAAAGTGTTTCTCTATGCACTACCAAGCGATTTCGAGGTATTACCTCATTACCATTAGATGGGCAACCAGATGGTCCATTTAGCAAACTATTACAGTTTTCTTTTTTGCAGTAGAGTTTTGGGGGAGACTGTTTCTTGTTTGTAGGTATTTATCTTGAACTTATTTTGTACCATTGCTGTTTTTCCATGATATACACTCCACAAGACTTTGTGTTTGATGTAATTGGTCAATCGAGTAATTTTCTTATAAAAATGAATAATTCTTTAAATCCCCTGTTCTCCAGTTAGCATCTTTGTTTTCGTGTGGTGTTTCTTCGGAATTTTCAAAGAACTTTTCCTTTCAATGAAAACGGTACATTGCTCGGAAAAAAAGGGGTATTTGGTGAATCGATGACGGGTTCTCGCCACTGAAAGGTTTTCGAAAAGGAACTACTTTTGCAAGACTCTGGAACAAGTCTTGAGTTAAATGATTGAAAGTGGATGCCATTCAGTTCCTATGCACCTCACTGCACAGTCCTTAGCCAATTTTCTCCGAAAACTTTCTGCTGAAGATATCAACGGGAAATGCACCATCAGAATCAACGTATGGATGTTAAAGACAGTTAAAAGAGTTTATATAGGGACAAGAGTCAAGTTCACGCTTGTGTCCATAGGATGATAATATGTTCTGAGGCTTATATGTTTTTGAAAACTTGGAAAATGTCAGCTAACAAAGAAATCAAAAACTCTCCGATGCACAAAAAGTCATATCGATTCCAATGCAGGAACCAATGGTTGTTATGAAGAGACATTGCATTTCCAGATGAGATGATGGGGCGTTACCTTCCGGAAGGATCACGAACTGGCATGAGAGTTAGAAAGTAGGATTAAAGGAACATCCTTGATTGGCAAGGGAAGGAAGATGGGTCTCAACCACCCACCACTTCTTGATTTTTCTTGACAGCTTCTACGTCTTCATTCATCGGTTGTGGTAATCTTTAACTCTCCGATGAAATCCAGGGCAAAGTCGGTTGACATACAGTAAGTCGTGAAGTTCATCCTTTTCAACATGAAGAACTTGAAGAACTTCTATTATTTACTTTTGCGCCATAAAACCACGACTTGTTTACAGATAAAAGCTCAACTCTAAGCCTTGACCTAATCAACTCTGAGCTAATAATAATAATAATAATAATAATAATAATTATTATTATTATTATTATTATTATTATTATTATTATTATTATGCATATATCTCTCGTATACCTAAGCCATGACCTAATCGGCTTGGGCATGGGGACTAGACTTTGGACCTGAGAGTGACGCGAGCAATGACAATATTAAGCAGCCTCTCCAACAGTGCAACGAATAAAAGTCTCATCATCAACGTTCTCTTTCCCTCTATATAAGTGGCACCCTGCGTTTAGCCTTATTTCACCACGGAAAGCATTCTTCAGTTCTGTTCAAATTACAAAAGCTTCAGCTTGTAGCGATAATTCTCAATGGCAGAGGAAGTGATATTGTTGGACTTTTGGCCGAGCCCGTTTGGGATGAGGGCCAGGATTGCCCTAAGAGAGAAGGGCGTGGAGTTCGATATGAGGGAGGAGGATCTGAGCAACAAGAGCCCCCTGCTCTTGAAGATGAACCCGGTCAACAAGCAAATCCCCGTCCTCATCCACAACGGCAAGCCGGTTTGCGAGTCCCTCATCATGGTCCAGTACATCGACAAGACCTGGGGTCGCGAGTCTCCTCTTCTGCCTTCGGATCCTTATGAGCGTGCTCATGCCAGGTTCTGGGCCGACTACGTGGACAAGAAGGTAAGACAGCAACGCCTTAATCTCTAGAACATTTCTTTATTTAGTGCGCTTAACATCAAGACGTGAAATGACGTTGCAGATGTACTCGGTGGGGCGAAGGGTGTGGCTGTCGACGGGGGAGGCCCAGGAGGCGGCAAAGAAGGAGTACATCGAGTGCTTGAAGGTGTTGGAGGGAGAGCTCGGGGACAAGGCTTACTTCGGCAGTGAAAGGTTTGGGTATGTGGACGTGTCGCTAATACCGTTCTATAGCTGGTTCTATGCTTTGGAGACATTGGCCAACTTTAGCATCAAGGAGGAGTGCCCCAAGTTGGTGGCATGGGCCAAGCGGTGCACGCAGAGGGAGAGCGTGGCGAAGTCGTTGCCCGACCAGTACAAGCTCAATGAATTCCTCTTGGAACTCAAGAAGAAGCTTCAGGCGCAATAAACAACTCTCTTGAGTCTGATTATTGCTTATTTCATCACTCTTTCGTTCAATAACCCCTCTCCGTTGGATGAGGCTAGCTCTTCTAGGTTCATGATTTCCTTTTTGTATCCGAGTGTTTCTGGATCAGCTAATAAACTATACACAGCATTTCATCAACTCCATTGATCTCTTTCAGTGTCGCTAGAGAAAATCTCCTCTTGGAAAATGTTTCCAATAACAAATCCTCTAAAAGACAACGGATTTATTTAGTACACGTTGAGAGTTCACTCGACAAATTAATTACACTCAACTTATTAAGCCGCCTTCCCATAGCTTGCTAAAAATAGGCCATGGTTCCTTATTTCTCTCTTGAGAGTGCGTGCACAGACGCCCGCAACATAATTAAAACACAAACGACGATAACAGAAGAGAAACGAATGTCAGTTGGACTCCATCAAATGGATGTCCTCGATGTGGAAACTTAAAGCGAAGCGAACACTGGAGGAGTTCTGGATGATGATGATGAAGATGACGAGGGATCTGCATTTGAAGAATCTCTTTCTTCTTCGAGGATCGTCGTCAAAACACTCGGCGATGGGCACTTTGCTAAGTGAAGGAATCTCGGGGGTGCAACCTCTGTGATGAACCTTGTGCTTTGTATCTTGGCCATCTAATAATCAATCCCCAGTAAAGCAAAGTTGAAACTTGGTGTATGAACAAGTTGAAGACAAACTCTGAGAACTTAGAGGCCTCGGGGTCCAGTGAAACTTGAGAAACACCAGAACGCCGAATGAGATGAAGGGGTTGCTGGCATTTCCCTTAGAATATGTAGTGAACACTGAACACTGGCATTTTTTTAAAGGAGCGAGCATGCGGAGTGCGTTTTTTCCGTACTAATTTTGTCCTCAAGTGGTAGCACATGCTATCAATGCCTCGCCAGTCAGTTTTGTTCCTTTTCGGAGTTCTTTTACCATACTCACTCCAAATGATTACGGTTTAATCATCGATAACGACCCTAGAATTGAGAGACGAGCAAGACGTTCATTTGATTCTCACCCCTCTTCGTGTTAAGTTGGACCTAACACGTTTTATAAAGCTAATGTGCTTGATAACTTTCAAAAATCTGAGCAAGCCGCGCGATTGATTAGTGGGCAGGGTTGTCAGGAGCTAAGTTGATGACTTGCATTTCCTAAGACATACACATAAATTTCATCCTTTCTAATAACTTGAACTCCAGGCATTGTGCAAGGATGCCTTCGCCATTGGCATCACGTGCCGACAAACCCCAAACAAACATCGAAAATCATGCATGAGATTGTTGGCATACGGATGTGAAGTTAAAAACTGAACCGACAGTTTATGTAATTGAAGAAGATCTAGGATCGGATGCGAATATGGCACCTTCTAGAGTTTGTCCATGCACAGACGTCTCCATCTTCCAGCAATGGAACCTGTGTGACCACCCACTTTTTGCATTAATTTCCTCGAGTAGATGTCTTACGGTGTACTAAGGAAACCCAAAAGAAGAAAAACAAAATGGGGACCAAACGATCTAAGAAAAAGGAGGAAGGCACCGACCTGGAATAAAGAGGGACCATCATGTACTTGCCTTTTCTTGCTTGACATGCCGACTCCATGGCTCTGTAAGCCAATACAGATTAGCTAACAAGTAGATCTCTCTTTTGAAACTGGCTTATTAGCTACATTTAGTTGAGATTAAGAAAACAAACCTCACTATTCACAAATATTGTAGGCAAACCCACGAGAGAGAGAGAGAGAGAGAGAGAGAGAGAGAGAGAGAGAGAGAGAGAGAGAGAGAGAGAGAGAGAGAGAGAGAGAGAGAATTTTGTAGAATGGACTTACAAAAAGAAGGGAAAAATTGTCCAACAAGTTCTAAACCTATTTCAATTCTAAACCTGTGTTAATTGAGTCTTATACCTTTTATGTTTTGCCAATTGAGTTCATCTGGCTAATTTTGACTGGAAATTACTAACTTGGGTGCTGGCTGTCCTATGTGGCACAGTTGTCTTAGGTGGCACGGCTAGTGCTAACGTTGACAATTTTTCATAATATTTAAATATTTTTTTTGAATTTTTTCTTTTCCCCTTTTTTTCTTTTCTTCTCTTTTCGTTCTTTACTTTTTTGTTTTTTTTTCACAAGAAAATCCCGGTCCTCATTCACAACGACAAACCTATGAGTCTCTCATTGTGGTTCAATAAATAGAAGAGGTTTGGCATGATAGATCTCCTCTGTTGCTATCAAGAAAATTGTCCAAAAAATCATAAACCTATTGCACTTTTGCTAATTGAGCCCTAAACCTTTTCACTTTTTGCTAACTAAGTCCATCCGGCCAATTTTGATCGGAAATCGCTGACGTGGACACCGGCTGGCCACGTGGTGCTAACGTGGACTTTTTTAAATAATATTTTTATTATTTTTTGAATTTTTTATGGTTTTGTTTTCCTTTTCTCTGTCTCTTTTTGGGTTTTGGAGTTAGGGCCTGAGAGGGTGTCGTGGCCCTCGCCCAGAGCCGGCGAGGGTCAGCTGGCCCTCGCTTGCGGCCAGCTCCAAAACTAAAAAAAAAAAAACGGAGAAAAGGAAAAGAAAAGAAAAAAATCATAAAAATTCAGAAAATTATCAAAATATTATTTAAAAATATCCACGTCAGTGTCACGTGATCAGCCAATGCCCACGTCAGTAATTTCTGGCCAAAATTGACCGGATGGACTCAATTGGCAAGAAATAAAAAGGTTTATGACTCAATTGGCAAAGTTGAAAGGTTTAAGACTGAATTGACAAAAGTGTAATATATTTAGGACTTTTAGGACAATTTTCCCGTTGCCATCCGATCCCTACCATAGAGCCCAAGCCAGGTTCTGGGCTGATTATGTCAACAAGAAGGTATTTGTTGCCCATATATTGCACCAAACGATGGGCGGTTATTAACTTTTATGCGCGTAACCTTTTGAAAACATCAAAACATATTCCATCTTGTAATCTTGGAGAGCAAATGATCAATATTGTCAGTAGTAGAATTTGATCCTTGCCAAGCAGGATATGGATTCGACTAAAGGTTTGCGGCTCTGCACAAATCATAAGATGCATTAGCCCCGTGTTTCGAAGCCAAACTAAATTTCAACGCATCCCTTAGTACACCATCTTCATTTAGTTTAGTCCTTTTACCATACTTTGCTGATAGTTATTCATAACCTAAAGCTGTAACATTTGGAATGGAGTTTGATCGTTTAAGGTCGCGTGGCCCCTATATATAGCCGATGTTTTAATGAAAGAACGGACGGGCGTAACTTTCATAGCACTCGATTTTTCTGATTCTGCGGGTTGAATTCTCCTCTTTTGGAGAAATATCTTCTCTTGAATTTTGTGGCTGTGTTAGTGAGGTTGTGGTTGATAATGGTCTTAAAACATCGCCGGGACAAAAACGACTAGAAAACTCGTTTTCTTTCTTCTTTTTTGACTTTGTCATTTCATTGGAGTCCACGAAATCAATCACCGCCATCGTCACCGACTCCTAAGCGTACCAAGAAGCATCGAGCACAAAAAAATAAGACAGATAATGAATGACAACAAAGTCAAGTCCGCAGCCCTGGAGATATTCTTGTTTAGGGATAATGACACGAATGGTCCCTAAATTTTAGCCTAATATGTAATGTGATCACTGAACTTTTAATTTATTCAATGTGGTCTCTGAAATATATGACAATGTTCAATATAGCCCTTCCATTAATTTAAGATCAGAGACAACATTGAACATTTTCATATAATTCAGGAACTAAATTGAACATGTACAAAAAGTTCAGGGACTACATCGAACAAATTAAAAGTTCATGGACCATATCGAACAAATTAAAAGTTCACGGACCACATTGTACATTAGGCTAAAATTCATGGATCATTTGTGTCATTTTTCCTCTTGTTTGAGGAAGTACAAGCTTTACTTCGAACTTGTCAAAAATCTCCTTATCTTATGACTTGGTCAGTTTCAGTAAAACTGTACGTTCTTCACTCATTGATAATGTAATGTGCAGATCTATGAGATCAGGAGACTGAATCATTTTCACCAAAGGAGAAGAACAAGAGGCAGCCAAGAGGGAGCTCATAGATTGCCTCAATGTGTTGGAACGAGAGCTCGATGACAAGCCCTTCTTCGGAGGGGAAACATCGGGGCTCGTCGATATCACTCTCCACTACAAAAAAAATAAGGATTTAGCCACGGAAATTAGTGACGAATAATTTTTCGTCGCTAATTTACGACGAATTTTGCGACGGAAAAAAATCCATGGCTAATTTGCGACGGAATTTGCCACGAAAAAAAATTCGTGGCTAATTTGCGACGGAATTAGCGACGAATTTTTTTTTCGTTGCTAATTTGCAACGAAAAAAAATGTCGTCGCTAATTTGCAACGGAATTTGCCATGAAAAAAAATTCGTCGCTAATTTGCGACCGAATTAGCGACGAATTTTTTTTCCGTTGCTAATTTACAACGGAAAAAAATGTCGTCGTTAATTTGTGACGGAATTTGCCACGAAAAAAAATTCGTCGCTAATGTGCGACGGAATTTGCCACGAAAAAAAATTCGTCGCTAATGTGCGACGGAATTTGCCACGAAAAAAATCCGTCGCTAATTTGCAACGGAATTTGCGACGAAAAAGTATTCGTTGCTAATTTGCGATGGAGTTAGCGACTTATTTTTTTTCATCGCTAATTTTGCGACGTAATTTGCAACGAAAAATAAATTCGTCGCTAATTTGCGACGGAAAATAAATTCGTCCCTAATTGTCCCCCTCGCTACTTGTAATATACCCATACCCCCAATTTCTCTCTCTCCCTGCTAATTCCTCATATCCCTCTTCGCCGTTCTCCCTCCCTCTCTCTCTTTCATTTCTCTCGATAAACCTTTCTGCGCGCGCGCAAATCAGTCTCGGTAAAGCTTTTCTGCCGGTAAGTGGCGTGGCTAATTTCGTGGCTAATTTGCGATGAAGACAGTTCGTTGCAAAACTATTCATTGCTAGATTCGAATTTTTTTTATTTTATTGACTTTTTTTTTTCCTAACTTCGTCGCCGGTCCGGCGACCGGCGAGACCTCGCCAGCCATGGGCAAGGCCGCTGGACCTCGCCCAGATCTGGGCGAGGTCCAACGGCGTCGCCCATGGTCGCCGCTCGACCTTGCCCGTGGCTGCCGCTAGACCTCGCCGCGGATGCGTGCGACGAGGTCGAGCGGCGACCATGGGCGACGCCAGCGGGACCTCGCCCGGATATGGGCGAGGCCGAGCGGCCTTGCCATGGCTGCCGCTCGACCTCGCGGCGAGGTCCAACGGCGCCCAGATCTAGGCGGCGGCCTCGCCATGGCCGCCGCTCGACCTCGCCGCAACAGCGAGGTCCAACGGTGCCCAGATCTGGGCGGCGAGGTCGAGTGGCGGCCATGGCGAGGCCGCCGTTGGACCTTGCCCATGGCCATGGCGAGGCCGCTGGACCTCGCCCTTGGCCGGCGAGGTCCAACTCGCCGGCCTTAGCCGGTCGCCGGACCGGTGACCGGCGAAAAATATCTAGAAAAAAAAATTTTGAAAAAAAAAATTTTCGAAAAAAAAAATATGAAGTCATTTTTTTTTTAGGTACGTGTCCATTTGAAAGTCTTGCAGATGAAGTGAACGTTGCAATTCTCATCAAATTGAGCACTTTTTACTACAAAGATTTCAGTCAAATACTTGGGTAAGTCTTCTTGACATGGTAATTGTTTTATTTTTTTCAATTTCAAAGTAATTGTTTCGTCAAAAACAAAAATTTAATTTTTAGAATTTTATGGTTTTAATTAAGAAAATTTTATGGTTTTAATATTTTACGAGATTTTGTTATTTTTATATAGACACAATGCAAAGAGACAGGACTTGGATGTATAATAAGAACTTACTTGGACGTCGAGGATTGACCGATGAGTGGTGGGCTGTATGTAAAACCAAAGTACGAAGAAAAATCGAGGAACATTGGAAAGATACAGCATATCAACAAGAGGAAGTTTGTAACACGGTTCAAACTGAGGAATATAACATTCCAACTCTACGAGATCCATATGGAGCAATGATAGATGTAGATCTAACTAAAATTCGCGAATCAAATTTAGAAGGTGTTGCAGAATCTGATTTTGAGATAGAGGATGAGGAGGATGATGATGATGATGACGACGACGACGATGATGCTCAAGAAGAAGAAGAAGATCAAGACGAAAACGAAAGTGAAGGTGAAGATGAAGATTTAGATTTTTTGAGACTTTTTACAAATTATGTCTTAATTATTATTATTATTATTATTATTATTATTATTATTATTATGACAAGAGTTTATTGTTGTTGTCATATTTATTATTATTGTTGTTGTCGTAATTATTAGTATTGTTGTTGTTATTATTATTATTGTTGTTGTTGTTGATTATTATTATTGTTACTGAAATGTTATTGTTGGGAAAAAAAATGAATTAGGCGTGTCTGAGCTAGTAGAAATGAAATTCGTGGCAAATTTGCCACGGATATTGCCACGAATTTGAAAAAAATACCCACACACGCCTAATTCATTTTTTTTGAAATTCGTGGCTAAATCCGTGGCAAATTTGCCACGGATTTAGCCACGAATTTCAAAAAAAATGTCCACACACGCCTAAGTCATTTTTTTTAAAATTCGTGGCTAAATCCGTGGCAAACCACAGATTTAGCCACGAATTTTTAAAAAATGCCCGCAATTCTTTTTTTATAAAATTCGTGGCTAAATTCGTGGCAAATTTACCATGAATTTAGCCACGAATTTAATTTCTACTTGCCTAATTATGAAATTCGTGGCTAAATCCGTGGCAAATTTACCACGGATTTAGCCATGAATTTTCCTAAAAAAATGACTTAGGCGTGTATGGGCATTTTTTTGAAATTCGTGGCTAAATCCGTGGCAAATGTGCCACGGATTTAGCCACGAATTTCAAAAAAAAAATGAATTAGGCGTGTGTGAGCATTTTTTTTGAAATTCGTGGCTAAATCCGTGGTAAATTTGCCACGGATTTAGCTACGAATTTCATAAATAGGCTAGTAGAAATTAAATTCGTGGCTAAATCCGTGGCAAATTTGCCACGGATTTAATAAAGTCTCGCATTATTATCCTGATTATATCTATTTTCGTGGCTAATTAGCCACGGAAATAAAGTCTCGTGGCATTTTCCCTACTGTATTTATTTCCGTGGCTAAATTCGTGGCTAATTAGCCACGGATTTAGCCATAAAAATAAACTCTTGCTTCACTTTCCCGATTTTTTTTAATCTCGTTGCTAAGTCCGTGGCTTTGTTTAGCGACGAACTCTTATGTCCGTGGCAAAATTCCCTAATTTTGCTCCCCGCCCACTCTCAAATTTGCCCGCCCTCACCCTAATTTTTTTCTCTCTCTCTCTGTTATTCCTCAGATCCCCCCCTTCCGCCAAACACCTCTCCGTCGCTCCCTCCTCCCCTCCACCAGCCATGATGGCCACCCTCACCGCCACCGCCGCCGTCGCCTCCTCCTCCGTCGCCTTCCGCCCGTTCCGCTCCCACAAGCCCTCCCGCGCGCCCGCCGGGATCCGGTGCTCCGTCGCCGAGGGCCCCGCGATCTCCCAGCCGAGGGCCGCCGGCGGGGGACTGGTTGATTGCGTGGTGGTCGGGGGCGGGATCAGCGGGCTCTGCATCGCCCAGGCGCTCGCCACGAAGCACCGCGACAGGGCCCCCGACGTGGTCGTCACCGAGGCCAGGGACCGCGTCGGCGGCAACATCACCACCGTCGAGAGGGACGGCTACCTGTGGGAGGAGGGCCTCAATAGTTTCCAGCCATTCCGAGATTTGTACGTTCCCATTCCGAGATTTATACGTTCCGTCGGTCCCATTCCGAGATTTGTACGTTCCGTCTACTCTGATTTTGTGACCTTCTTATTGAAGTTCTCGAGTATGTTCGTGTGTCAACTGATAGATACATCGTCGGATTATTGTAATGGTTGTCGTTGCTCTTGTTTCGTTAGAATTGGGTATAGTCTTGATCGAGAAATGGAGATGATGTTTGTGAGTTTATAAGGTAAATGGGTCAGGATAGGGTGCTTTGCAAGTGTTTGATGAATGACCCAGTTCTCCAATTTGAGAATAGACGTGCAATTTTGGACCTTTTTTTATGCTGTTGCGAATAGCGGGGCGAGGCTCGAATCGGCGTGAGTTCTTTCTTGGGTGTTCTTCCTTTTTTTTTTTCTGGGGAAAAGGAAGAAAATGGAGAGGACAAAGCAATCGTTGGATAGATGCTCAAGAACACTCAGACTTCACTTGCAGAAGGTAGTGCTTCATGTGTTAATTTTTGTGAAGCTTTCGTTGGATAGATGCTCATTCTCTTGCTTGTCACTTCAGAACAAGAACGCAATCGCCAGTTGACAAAGCCTGTAACTGCTGAAAAGGTAGGATATAGTTCTATGTATTGTTGATATTCAATAGTTGTGTACTTTTTCTCTCACTGACGATGCAAATTTCTCTTTTATAAGTAATGTCCCTGCTTCAATCATTTAAGTATCACTTAGTGTTTTTATGCATGTTCTTGATCTGAATCCTGTGGTATGTTCCTATTGTCGGGAGAAGAGTGAAAGCATCCAGAACAAGCTTGAGTCATTTTCGAAGAAGCAGAAGTTGCCCATAACAAGCGCTTTGGCCATGTCAGATGCTTCAGACCCTTCTACAGGTAATGGCTCTCTTCTCTGTTATCTTGCATTCTTAGAATATAACAATGCACAAACTGCTGCTATTGATTATGGTTTTTCTGTGATCTTGTAATTGTCTCTATTAACTTGTGGTTTCAAGTGAAGGATGAGCTTTTGATATTATTCTCGTAAAAAGCAGTGATTGCACCACTAGAAGCTATTTCATTTGGGCAGTGACATTGGAAAAATGATTTTAACGGGAAGTAAGGGAGGATATTATGACTCATTTACGAGATGATGTATAAGGACACATATAACTGATTCACGTTGACTGAGTTTGGGTGGACTAGAGTTTGGGCATTTTTAACAACAAATACAGCTTCGTTTTACATTTTCAGTGCCTTTTCATGATCTATTGTTCAGTCTAACCACCTTACATTTTTTTTACTTATCAAACTTCAGAGAAAGTAGTAGCACAAGATGCAAACTCAAAAAGAGTGACTAATTGCGTTGTCCCTGCTCATAGGAGGTAATACTCAGCTGTTTATTCTTATTGATTTTACTGATTGAGCTACTTCAGTATGGCTAGTAACGTCAATTTTCTATCAGGTCAAAAGTAAGGGGTGTGCTCCTGCAAAATCCGAAGATGTATAGCTAGACGTGGGAAGTTATCCTTCAAGATGGTTTACTTTGTTCTGTAAGTACAACATTAGGTGTCGGAATCAGGAGCAAGATGTTACACCCAACCCTTAGGATAAACGCTTAGTTTTTTATTTTTATTTTTGAAGTTATAATTTCAAGTCTGTCCATGTTTGTGAAATCTAATTGAGCTGGTACATATTCTTGCCTAGAAGGTCTTGCAATTTATGGCGTATGAGTTTCTGCTAACTGGAAGAGGGAAGTCATCATTTACTTAAGTTTTTTATTTGCAATATGTAACGTATTGATGAATTACATTGGGAGAGTCTCTGCATCTTATTTAGTAAATGCTTGCTAAATTTCCATGTTGTTGGTCATGCTTGCTGATCACACATGATAATGCAATAGTACCCAGCACTTGTGAATGGTGGCAAGCAAATAGATATTACGTGATAAACTATTCAAGCGATAATGACCACACTATTTGGATGCTTGGATTATCCTGTCTAATATGTCTGACATGGAAAAATCACGCTATTTGGATGCTTCAAGTAGTTTCTGTTAATGCATGATGTTGTCCATACCAATAAATTGATTCACTAGGTTGCTTTTCTGTAGTTCTGAATTTTGTAGAGAAGGAGGCTGATCAATGCTTATATATGAATTTTTTTTTAGTTCACTAGAAATAATATGCAAGTTTTGTTTGTCTTTGTTATGGTTCAATCATAATATAGCTCATACGCTTATGAGTGGCAGGTTGCAGGATGTAGTGCACAGTGAGAGGCGTCTATATCTAGTTTTTGAGTACTTGGACTTGGATTTGAAAAAGCACATGGATTCATGTCCAGAATTTTCTAAGGACATCCGCACGATAAAAGTGAGTGAGCTCTCTTACCCTCGTGGAGGTTTATGCTTTGAGAGGATTATGTTCAAGTACATTGAGCTATGTGTTGATATGTGGAGGGGGAGATTTGCCAAGGATGTTCAAGTACATTGAGCTATATGTTCAAGTACATGGAAAATGTAGATGAATGTATTTCATTTTCATATTATTATAATAGTTTGATCACATTGAGCTATATGTTCAAGTACATGGAAAATATGTAGATGAATGTATTTCATTTTCATATTATTATAATATTTTGATGTTATTAAGTGCTTAATCAATGTTAAATACAAATTCTAGAAATTAATTTTGCTTTAAATTACATTTAAAATCGAAATTTGCCACGAATAAGTTCGTTGCAAAAAACTGACAAAAAAAAATTTGGTGGCAAATTAGCCACGAATTTTGCTACGAAATGTGTTCGTCGCAATTAGTGATAAATTTTTCCACAAATAATTAGCAATGATTTTTGTCACGAAAATATTTCGTCGCAATTTCGCGACCAACAAAAAAAAAATTTGAAAAAAATAGCGACGAATTTTGCCACGAATATAGTTCGTGGCAAATTAGTCACGAATTTTGTCACGAATAATTAGCGACGAATTTTGTTTCGTGGCAAATTAGCCACGAATTTTTTTTCGTCGCAAATTAGCGACGAAAATTGAAATTTTCCATCGCAAAATTTTGCGACAGCCTATTAGCGACGAATTTTTTTCCGTCGTTAATTTCGTCGCAAATTTGTTTAGCGACGAATTTTGCCAAATTTTTCGTGGCAAAATTCGTCGCTAAAACCAACTTTTTTTGTAGTGCTGGTCCCCTTCTATAGCTAGTTCTATGGCTACGAGAAGTGCGGCGGTTTCGGCATCGAGACACAGTGCCCCGAGCTCGTTGCATGGGCCAAGAGGTATTCCTAGAAAGACAGTGTTTCGAAGTTTCTGGCCAACCATGAAAGAGTTCACGGATTCATGTTGGAGCTCAAGAAGAGGTTCGGGGTCGATTAGAAGCAAAAGGACCCAGGTCATTTAGTGGATGTTGATTTGTGTAAAAAAAAAAAAGTTCGGAGTAAATATGTCATGACGGGCATAATTTAAAATTTTTCATGAGTTTTTCCCTTCTTGTTAAGATAATGTTTGCCTGTTCGGTAAATGATGTATTAAGTTTTACTCGATAATTTCCACAAGTTTCACCTATGTATTAGTGATATCCTTATTAACCAATCCAAATTTAACACATGTAGCAAATATATATTAGTAAGAAGTTTTAGTACATCTAGCATTATTTTTTTCTTCTTAGGGAAAAAATCACAAAAAATCTAAAATTATGCTTGCTGTGACACATTTACATTAAACCTTTTTCTTGTATTTTAAAAATCCCCCTAATTTATATCCGTGTGACACATTTACCTTCCGTTACGTTTTCGTCAAGAAGCACCGTTACAAATCCTATTTTGCCATCTGATTCCTATCGTAGCGCCCAAGGCAGGTTATGGGCTGACTACGTCGACAAGAAGGTATATGTGGCCCACATATTTGCATCAAACGATGCTTAATTATCAACGTTCAAGCGTGTAACTTTAGTGCGCCCTCTTTATTTACGTTTTTACTATACTTAACTGATAGTTATCATAACCAAAAGCTGTGACATTTGGAATGGAGTTTAATCATCCAAGGTTGTGTGGCCATTTTACGTACCAGATTTTTAAAGAAAGAACGGACGGACGTAACTTTCATAGCACTGGACTTCTCTTATTCCGCGGGCTGAATTTTATGGCTGTGTTAGTGAGGTCGTGGTTGATAATGGTCTTAACATCACCGTCCGAAAACGACTAGAAAACTCGTGTTTCTTGACTGTGTCATTTCACTGGAGTACACGAAAATCAATCACCTCCGTCTTACCAACTCCGAAGGGTACCAAGAAGCATCAAGCACAAATAAATAAGATAGATGAAGAATGACAATGAAGTTCATTAAAACTTTACATGCTTCACTCATGTCATTGTAATGTGCAGATCTATGATATTGGGAGACGAATAATTTTGACCAACAGAGAAGACCAAGAGGCATCCAAGAGGGAGCTCGTACATTGCCTCAAGGTGTGGGAACGAGATGCTTCACTCATGTCATTGTAATGTGCAGATCTATGATATCGGGAGACGAATAATTTTGACCAACAGAGAAGACCAAGAGGCATCCAAGAGGGAGCTCGTACATTGCCACAAGGTGTGGGAACGAGAGGCGACAAGCCCTTCTTCGGAGGGGAAACATCAGGGCTTGTCGATATCGCTCTTGTCCCCTTCTATAGCTGGTTCTATGGCTATGAGAAGAGCGGCGGTTTGAGCATCGAGACACAGTGCCCCAAGCTCATTGCGTGGGCCAAGAGGTGTTCCCAGAAAGACTGTTTCAAAGTCTCTGGCCGACCACGAAAAAGTTCACGGATTCATGTTGGAGCTCAAGAAGAGGTTCGGGGTCTATTAGAAGCAAAAGGACCTAAGGTCGTTTAGTGGATGTTGGTCTGTGTTTCAATATTTGATGTGTCGTAAGTTTTCCAAATATAGAATGTACTATAACTCACTGTTTGTTGTGGACGAAGTTGTTGAGGCATAAATAACACTTGCTTTACATGGCCTAGCCGAACCGATTGGCTTGTCCATCCTTGGCCCTTGTTTTCTTCTCTAATGGGAAATACGACGACAATGCTCTACTCCTGCCCTCGTAGAGGCGCCGATAAAGGCCGCGCCCATGGTAGAGCAAGAATCGAGTAGTCCTGAAGAAATTTTTTTCGCCAGGAGCAATCGCAATCAATTCTAAAAGAGAAAGCCTTAGGACCCCCCACAAAATTGAGATTGATCAATAGAATTGCGCCCGCATACGTAAGGATCCACTCCAACACCATAATCACCGCTGGTGTAGGTACAAATTAGGCTTCACATTTGCATATCTTTTCAGCTTTGACAAGTCCACCCAGTACTCACACACGTTTTAACTACAACTGAAACTCAAAGGACTAGATCATAAAAGAAACGCTTCGAGCTAACTCATAATCCAAGTAGCTAATTTTAATTGCACACCAAACACTGCCTCAGAATGAGCAACTGTCTGTTGCCCATCATGATCACCAACATAAGTTTCGAAGGAAGACACAACAAAGTGTCCCCTTTCCCAACACCAGAAATTCAACAACAAGAGAAAGACCTAAACAGCAACTATAACATTAAGACTACAGATAAAGATAAGAAGTACCCACAACGAGTCATCCAGATCTTTACTCAATGCCTAGGGCTTTCTTGAGCTGCAAGACGAAGTCGTACACCTTCTGTGGTTCGACGAGAGACTTGGACACGTTCTCTATCTCCAGGCACCTCTTGGTCCACGCTATGAGTTTGGGGCACTCCGCCTCGATGCTGAAGTTTCCGAACGTCTCGTACGCATAGAACCAGGTGTAGAAGGGGACCAACGCTATATCCAGGAATCCTAACTTCTCTCCACCGTAGAATGGCTTGTCGCCGAGCTCGCCTTCCAGTAGCTTCAGGCTGTCAATCAGCTCCTTCTTGGCCGCCTCCTGTTCCTCTCCTTTTGTGGTCCACAACTTCCTCCCCAGGTCATAGAACTGCGAGCATTTTTATAAGACCATTAGAATCACTCGATGTTCAATTTCACTCATCATAAACAGACTAGGCAACCAATTTTCGTGCATTCTTTCCCAGAACATACGATTAAATTTGCTCGAAAACTTCTTCCCGAAAACTCACTTCACCGTGACAAAGAAATCAATTGAATAAACCGCATCCATACCCAGTAGATACATATAAAGAACAATCTGATCGTATATGCTCAAACGCCCCCCTCCCCTCCATATTTCTGTCCAACCGAGGAAGGCAGAGAGGGTTTAACCAAGCATGCAGCGCTACCGACTTTCAGAGTCACCACGAGGTCTCACATCGCCAAGAAACATCCGGATTTAAGACTATGGAGACGACGGCGCACTCAGCAATACTAACAAGCTCGAGATAGGCGACTGCCGGTCTGTGTAGAGGTGAAATCATTCACACCCACGCTTACCCAGCAAGCGGGTTCGATCCCTACTGTCCACCCAGCATCCGAAACGACCCAGCTAGTTCGATATAGCATGACTCGAAACAAATAGGCACAACTACGACCATAAAAATCTCAGCTTTGCCAGAATTTTACCTTCTTGTCGATATAATCGGCCCAGAACCGGGCCTGAGCCCTCTGGTAGGGGTCGGAGGGCAGCAGGGGGCACTTGTCGGACCAGACCTCGTCGATGTAGTGGAGGATGACGAGGGACTCGCAGACGGGCTTGCCGTTGTGGACGAGGACGGGGATCTTCTTGTGGATGGGGTTCATCCGGAGGAGGAGGTCGCTCTTGTTCCTCAGGTCCTCCTCCTTGTACTCGTACTTCACCCCTTTCTCCGCCAGCGCGATCCTGCACCTCATCCCGAACATGCTCGGCCAGAAGTCCAGGAGGATCACCTCGTCCGCCATTGCTAAATCTCGAGAAGCCGCAGAGCAAATCACACCGATTCACAGGCGCCTCCGGTTAATAATGCAAAGGATGCACGGTGCTTAGCAAGAAATATCAGGGGGAGAGCGTGGGTACTTATAGGGAATGTTCATTGTACGGTAAATGATGGGTTAAATTTTTTACTCGATAATTCCAACAAGTTTCACCTATGTATTGCTTTTATTACTAACCAATCAAAATTTAACACATCATCCTGTAGCAAGTGCATATTAGGAAGAAGTTTAAGTAAAAATTTCAAATAAAGATCTGATTTGCTGTCATTTTCTTACATAAAGATTTTTTTATTAAGAAACTTTAGCTCTTTTTTTTTTTTTTCTTTTTTGAGTTTATTTTTTATGGAAATAAAAAAAATTATAAAAGGAAGAAAAATAAAGAAAACAAAGAAAGGAAAAAAGGAAAAAAATTAAAAAAAAATAAAAGACGAAAATATCCTTAACCCCGGCGAAGGTCAAACCCTTTTTTGAGATTAACATGGTCACTTCAAAACCCTTTTTATTTGAAATAATGTTCATTTCATGTACTTATTTAAAAGAATGAGCCCATCACTGATGGGGCGGTGGCAATGACCAGTGATCATCGCTAGAACCGGGAGAGGGTGTCGACCTTATATATTTTCACACTCTAGTTTTATGCAGAAATCCATCTTATTTGTGAGAAGAAGTGTTAGAGTATTTATACTATGTCATCTTCTAACCGTTTTTGACTTATTCTATAGATATATCGGGATTTATATGCGAAGTTATAACGGTGAATCCGATAAAAGGGGATATTAAAAAAAACAGTGAAACTTTACTACACGTTACGACCCATCTCTCAAGGCGATTGCTCATAATTTCTTTGTGGGGGGCGGGGCGGGGCGGGATTTTGCAAGGAATTTACGGTCGACAGAGACAGGGCAAGTGCTCGAGACTTTTCTCATCGTTTCCAAAAACGACGTACGCGAAGACCGACGAGTCGTCTATGGTGTTGCTAGCGTTGATATATTTCTAGACTCTTCTGTGAAATATTCGTCATCACTTCCGTCATCGCAATTTGCTTTCCCAGCAAGACAAGGCCCCAAAAAAGAAAAAGAGAAAAAAGCACTGTAAATCATTAAAAAAGGAAATAATGATTTGTCCCCTCTTTATGTGGGCTTTCGTGTAGTGATAAGCAAGACAGGCCCTTCCCCCCAAAAAAATAAGAATTAATATCACGAAAGCCGGTATATTATCCCAAATTGATATATTTATAATAATTTTACTTTACGTTAGTTTTTATTAAATTTTATTATTAAATTTTTGAATTAAATGATACGTGCCAGTTGATGGGGTACCGATTTGGTATTTTACCCCCCGTTTATTACAGATGTACCAGTTTATGATTTTTTGTGATATTAATCTAATTTAACATAAGGTAAATTTATCACAAATGTACTAGTTTGGGGTTTTTATGATCAAAAAATTAGTTTATGGTAAATTTATCACAGGTGTACAATCAAAAAATTAGTTTGGGATAAATTTGTTACATGAGTACCAATTTGGGGTTTTTCGTGGTATTAACCTAAAAAATAAATTTTGTTTAGTTGCTCCTATTGAATGCCTATTGCTTTTGGAAGCTGCGAGAGGAGGATCAGTGTTTACTTCGCTACGAATTTCTTCTCTCTTTTTTATTTTCTGGAAGAGGAAGTTCTTCTCTGTGAACTTGTTGCTTCTTTAGATTAAATTCAAGAGAGAAGTACCACTATTTCTAACGTTCATCAGGGGGAAAGCAAGATATGACATTGCAAGTGGCAGATAAACTAATAAAACAATGCTTTTCAAAGTCAGCTAGATTGCAAAAGTCAGCCAGATCAAATCAATGTGCGGAGTGGATTGCAAAAACCCATCGAAAAGGGTCGTCCCTTCCCGTTAATTGACTGTCTAGGCCCCCCTCAAAACCACTTCAGGATTTGTTATGTTTAGATGCTACTTGTCATTGTTTTACTGGTTCTGCTATTGAAATGAAAATGGTTCGTTTCGACCAAAAGAAAAAAGTCAGCTAGATTGCATTCAGTGACAACACTCAGATTTCACAGAGCAATTCCCAAGTTTAATTCAAACAGGAGGAGGAGAGTGGAGTGCCATGGACGGGGGGTTTTGTAAACGTACACATGATATAATTTTTTTTAATGGAGATCCTATGTAAAGTTAGGCGGTCCTATAATCACACAAATTTTTACATAAATATAACTATTTGTCGAGAACCAAGTTATTGAAGAAGATGCTCCCACGATCTCGCTTGCATGCTTTTTTAGATGCAGAACAATCATTATAGAGGTTAGAGAGAAAAGTTGAGACTCATCACTCAAAGAGCATTGTGACACGCGAGGAACTGTACCGTCAAGTGGTCATTGTGAAACCCTAAGAGAGCATATTGAAGCAACTTTCCATTATCATGAAAGCTCATGCCTAGAGTAATTAATTAATCTTGCCGAGAGGAAAGAGAGAATGACATAGAGGTGGGAGGGGCAGGCTTAAGTGGAATCATCACTTCAGTTTATGTCTTAGTTTTCATGCGTCATTATTATTTGACTAATGTTCCTCTTGACGAGAATGGCAATGAACAAGAGAAGCCCTGATTATAAAAAAATCTCGAACACGTGTTTGAATATATAACATGACATGACAGGAGACCCGAAACTACGTCGAGTGAATCGAATCTAAGCTTTTTATCTTGAGTCTTAAATCTTCTCAATTATTGTTGAGTCACGTGGATTATTTAATTGTCAATTGTTTAGCGTCCTAGTTATTAGGAGTCTGTTTTGTAGTGGTGTAGAACATGGCTTTGTGTTTTACCAAGTCAATAGGTGATTTCTGCATGTTGCTGTTTTTTAGGGGTTAGTGGAGTACTTTCTTTTATGCTGTTAACTGTCGTGTGTCAGCTCTTTAAGAAGAGCATCTGATGTAAAGTTTTTTTTTTAGAGAAAAAATGCAATAAGAACAACGTAGTTCTTTGCATACTGTGTAGCTTTCCTTCTTCCAAAATTCTGTAACACTGGTATCAGAGCCAAATTGTGAGAAGAGTGAGTTTGAAAAAGGAGAGATTGAACGTGAGATACCTTTGTGAAAAGTCGCAGCAGCAACTTTTTCAATGGCCACTGATAATTTTGTTCATCCTGCCATTCCTCGCTTTGATGGTCATTATGATCATTGGAGCATGCTGATGGAGAATTTCTTGCGATCGAAAGAGTACTGGCATGTCGTCGATTCTGGAGTAGCAGAACCAGCGGCTGGAGTGGTGTTGACGGATACACAAAAGGCTGACTTGGATGCATTGAAGCTGAAGGATCTCAAAGCCAAGAACTACCTTTTTCAAGATATCGATCGATCAACCTTGGAGACAATTCTTTGCAAAGACACCTCCAAGCATATTTGGGATGCAATGAAGAAAAAGTATCAGGGGAACGCGAGGGCAAAGCGCGTGCAACTTCAAGGGTTTCGGATAGAATTTGAGAATTTACGCATGAAAATCGGTGAATCTGTTACCGATTACTTGTCGAGAACAATGACGATCGCTAACAAGATGCGGATTCATGGCGAGAAGATGGAGGACGTCACCATCATCGAGAAGATTCTTCGATCAATGACACCGAAATTTAATTTCGTTGTTTGTTCTATCGAAGAATCTAAAGGTATTGATGATCTTTCAATTGATGAGTTGCAGAGTTCTTTGCTGGTTCATGAGCAAAAATTTGTCTAGCAAGATAAAGAGGAACAAGCATTAAAGGCAGTAGCCCATTCAAAAGGTCCTGATCGTGGGAAAGGGAGATGGAAGGATAAAGAGTCATATCATAAATCAAATGGGGATCACGTTGTTGATCCTAAATGGAAAGCGAAAAACCGTGACAACAACTATCCAAACGGCAACAAATCGAAGTTCTTCGACAAGTCAAATGTCGAATGTTATAGATGTCACAGGTATGGCCATTACAAGTCTGAATGTAGAACCAATCTTAACAAAAACCGTGGTGCAAAATCAAATTTTGCAGAGAAAGCAGAAGAAGTTTCACTTTTGATGGTCTGTCATACAAAAGAAGAGGTTCATCGAAATTTGTGGTATCTAGATACCGGCTGCAGCAATCACATGTGTGGAGATAAGTCTGTATTTTCAGACTTGGATGAATCGTTCCGTAACACGATTACGTTTGGCGACAAATCTTCTGTTTCTGTCATGGGCAAAGGCAACGTTAAGATTCACATCAAAGAAAACTCTACTCAGGTGATCTCTAACGTTTACTTTGTTCCAGATTTGAAAATCAATTTGCTTAGCATTGGTCAATTACAAGAGAAGGGATATGAGATCTCTATCAAAGATGGAGTTTGTCGAATTCAAGATGAAAACTTGGGCTTAATTGCTCAAGTCAACATGACAACAAACCGGATGTTTCCACTGTATCTCGATGACACCAATCAATGGTGTTGCTCTGCGAGATTGAAGGACGAAGCCTGGTTGTGGCACTTTCGCTATGGACATCTGAGTTTTGGTGGTCTAAAGACGCTGCAGCAAAAGAATATGTAACTGGTCTTCCACAAATTCAAAGTCCTTCTCAAGTTTGTGAAGAGTGTGTTGTTGGCAAACAACATCGAGATCCGTTTCCAAAAGGAAAAACGTGTAGAGCGAAGAAGGTGCTGGAACTGATACATTCAGATTTATGCGGACCCATTAATCCGACATCAAATGGCGGTAAACGTTACTTTATAACGTTCATTGATGATTATAGTCGGAAAACTTGGGTCTATTTTCTGCAGGAGAAGTCCGAAGCTTTTCTAGCTTTGAAGAACTTCAAAGTACTGGTCGAAAAAGAAGCAGGCATGCTTATAAAGACTCTTCGCAGCGATCGTGGTGGAGAATATAACTCGCAAGAATTCATAAATTTTTGTGAGACTCATGGAATTCGAAAACAGCTTACGACAGCTTATACGCCATAGCAAAATGGCATTGCAGAGAGGAAGAATCGCACCATCGTAAACATGGTATGAACCATTTTGGCAAGAAGCAGTGTTCCAAGAAGTTTTTGGCCTGAAGCTGTCAATTGGAGCATTCATGTATTGAACAGGAGCCCCACACTAGCTGTTCAAAATATGACGCCTGAAGAAGCTTGGAATGGGCACAGACCATGTGTCGAGCATTTCAGAATTTTCGGTTGTATAGCGTTTGCCCACGTACCAGATCAGAAGAGGACCAAGCTTGATGACAAAGGTGAAAAATGCATTTTTCTTGGTGTTAGTGAACATTCAAAAGCATACAAATTGTATAATCCTATCACCAAGAAAATTATCATCAGTCGTGATGTAATTTTTGATGAAGAGAGGTTCTGGTTATGGAATGAAAACAAAGTTGAACAGCAAATACAAGCTGATTTTGATGGAGAGAATGGAGAAAAATTGCAGCAGCCTTTGGAGAATGCAGAACCTGTAGAAAATGAGCAACAACCAGCAATCAATGAATGTATTTCAGCCTCTGAAACAGGAGATGAACAGCAACCTCGACGAGTTAGAAGAAGGCCCGCATGGATGACTGATTATGAGGTAACTGGGATCGATCAAACTGAAGACCCTTTTACTCATTTTGCCTTATTTTCAGATTGCGATCCAGTAGCTTTCGAAGATGCTGTTAAAGAACCAAAATGGCAGAAGGCGATGGATGCAGAAATTGCAGCCATTGAAAGAAATAATACTTGGGAGTTGATAGAGCTTCCAAAAGGGCAAAAGACCATTGGAGTGAAATGGGTGTACAAGACGAAATTAAAGGAGAACGGTGAAGTCGATAAGTACAAAGCCCGCTTAGTCGCAAAAGGCTACAAGCAAGAGTTCGGCATTGACTATAGAGAAGTTTTTGCTCCAGTTGCCCGACATGACACAATCAGAGTGGTGATTGCACTTGAGGCACAAAATTCATGGCCTATCTTCCAGTTGGACGTGAAGTCGGCATTTTTACATGGCGACTTGGAAGAACAGGTATTTATTGATCAACCTCCTGGTTATATAAAGTTTGGTAGTGAGCACAAGGTGTACAAACTAAACAAGGCGTTATACGGACTAAAACAAGCTCCAAGAGCTTGGTATAGTCGTATAGAGGCCTATTTTCTGAAGGAAGGTACCGAAAATGTCCATATGAGCATACGCTTTTTGTGAAAACTGGAGAAGGAGGGAAGATGCTTATTGTTTGCCTGTATGTTGATGATTTGATTTATACTGGAAATGATAGTGCTATGCTTGAAAAATTTAAGCAGCCTATGATGCTTGAATTCGATATGTCTGATCTTGGAAAGATGCACTATTTCCTTGGGCTAGAAGTTGTTCAATTGCTGGTGGAGTCTTCATTTCCCAAAGAAAATATGTGCAAGACATTTTAGAGAGGTTCCAAATGAAGAATTGCAATTCTTCTAGCACACCAACAGAGGTGGGTTTGAAGTTAGTGAAAGATCCTGAAGGAAAGAGAGTTGATAGTACCATGTACAAGCAAATTGTGGGAAGCTTGATGTATTTAACTTCAACTAGGCCAGATATAATGTATTCTGTGAGTCTCATAAGTAGGTACATGGAGAATCCTACTGAGATGCATCTCTTTGCTGCCAAGAGAATTTTTCGATACTTGCAAGGTACGGCTGACTTTGGATTGCTCTACAAGAAGGGAGAAAGCTCAAACTTGATGGGCTTCACTGATAGTGATTACGCCGGAGATCAAGATGATAGAAGAAGCACTTCCGGATATGTATTTATGATGGGTTCGGGAGCTATTTCATGGTCATCAAAGAAGCAGCTGATTGTCACTTTATCAACCACTGAAGCTGAATTTGTTGCAGCAACTTCATGCGCTTGTCAAGCTATTTGGTTGAAGAAAATTCTCGAAGAACTTCATGTTGAGAGCCAAGGACCTACTGTGATTTATTGTGACAATAGTTCAGCAATAAAGCTCTCCAAAAATCCTGTTTTACATGGAAGAAGCAAGCATATAGATGTCAAGTTTCATTTCTTGAGGGATCTGACGAAGGAAGGAGTTATTGATCTCATCTATTGCAGAAGTGAGGATCAAGTTGCTGATATCTTTACCAAGTCCCTCAAGTTGGCTGCATTTCAAAAGCTGAGAAACCTGCTTGGTGTCCAGAAGTTGTATTAAACTGAATGTTAGCAAACTTTCAGTTTAAGGGAGGGAATGTTGAGTCACGTGGATTATTTAATTGTCAATTGTTTAGCGTCCTAGTTATTAGGAGTCTGTTTTGTAGTGGTGTAGAACATGGCTTTGTGTTTTACCAAGTCAATAGGTGATTTCTGCATGTTGCTGTTTTTTAGGGGTTAGTGGAGTACTTTCTTTTATGCTGTTAACTGTCGTGTATCAGCTCTTTAAGAAGAGCATATGATGTAAAGTTTTTTTTTAGAGAAAAAATGCAATAAGAACAACGTAGTTCTTTGCATACTGTGTAGCTTTCCTTCTTCCAAAATGCTGTAACAATTATTATGCAATATCTAATACGTCTATGATTGAATGCGTATTATTGCTTTTGGAACTCTCGGAAAAATCGAAAAAGATATGATTGGTGAGACCATATATCAATTGATTTGCTTTGAGTTTTTGGACTTTCTGGCCGTGTCATTTGTCAAAGATGTGACAAGATGTTAGACCATATCTCATTTCCTTGTGCAAGAAGAAAGTTATGAAACGGGACAAGATGTATCTTATCTATGAGTGTTCTAAGGACACTTAATTAAGCATCCATTTGTCAAAACATTAATGGATGCAATATTAGATATAAAACCATACAAATATGTAAATATCTAAACATAACCTAATAAGAGTTTATTTAGTTTAAACCTAATTATCACAGGAAACTGACTATAGAGGAGAGCCTTCGTCCAATCAAACTATTAAATATCAAATAGTGTGGCAACTTCCGTAAAAGTCATGCAACGACACAATTTAATGTATTTCATTAGTTTAAGGAGAGGAATCAAGATCGGTAATCGTGACAAGGTCCAGATGATTCTTTATCCAAAGCACAAGTGTCCGCAAAGTTGTACCACGGTGGATACGTAGATAAAAGTATACTCTATTCTAAAGGAGTTTAAAACTCCAACTTGTTGACTCTGAGTGGGATTGGTAAAGGAAACTCTTTTATATGAATTTTCCCTTTTCTTATCCTTCTAACTTCTTTTAAGATGAAGTACGACCCATTTTAGATCTTTTACCTACATAAATTTGATGCTAATATAACTTATTTTCGCATGTGTACAAGCAATTAGAGGTTTGTTAGCTTTTTTGACGCTTAATTTTGGGGACAATGTTATTTTCCTCTTAGCTAAGTTACTCTTTCTTCTTCTCCTTAATTATCCCCTTTGCATGCGATTTAAGAAAAATCAATACCAATTATGACGTATTAAAATAATCTCTACAAAATAAAACACATTCATATACATATTGAAATATACTTAAATTAATGCGATGAGAGAGAGAGAATTTGAAGATGCTAATCAATCTATGGAAAAATTTAAATAGTTGTCAGGTAAGGGAGATTAGAATTCAATTTTGAAATAAAATATTTATGCGACAAGTTGGTAATTACTTGACTATATTGTGGTTTTGTCATGTTGTCATATTATGTTTGTTGTGAAAATTATTAACAATAAGCATAACTTTTCATGGAACTTCTTTTATGAACATCTGTTTGAAATAAAAAGTGCCATAAGGTTGATTCATCGTCATCTTTAAAGTATCATTTTGTACCTTTCTGCTATGTATTAAAGTTTCCTCACGTGACTCAGCATGTTTTGGGGGAAATACTATATTTAATGTTTAGATATGATTATATAAAGTTGAGGTTTTTCGTTTTCTTACTTCAATTGTGGCAAACGTCTAATCGAATTCACCTTTAATTGGGCCACAGCGACATCAATACGAGATAACATTTCATGCAATCAAATTCATCCACGCCGCGAAACTAAATAAATGAGATTCGCATTCATCTGCTTTAAACACGAGAATCCTTTAGATTCAATAGATTCATGCCGCGTGCCCTCGACCCATTTAATGATTTTCCCATCATGTCGATGCAGAACAACTTTCTGTTCGACGAAAACCAGAGAGTTCTTGATGGGCTTCGCAATTGACGTATCAGCAATGCTTTGCAAAAACGACAGCGCCCATTTTGCAGAAAACTACAGCTCTCTAAAGCAGAGGATAGACCATGTAAAATCACAAAGAATCAAAAAAAAAAAAAAAGGGGAACCTACTCTCTCGCTTGCTGCTACTCGGCCTTTACTTGTTTTGGTTGGCAAACAAGGATAGCGACGGTGAAGCTGAAAGACCATCTAGGTGTGCGCTGCCAATAGACTTATATTTTGGTAGTAAGAAAGGAAGACCCGGTACCAGATACAAGACGCGCCCTATCAATCCAGTGCGAATTAATGCAAAAGGCAAGGGCGGCGACTACGATTGCTCCACTTTCTGACGCTCTTGATAGTGATCGCCACACCCTTCCCTCTATATTTGGTTCATGAGTTTGATCATTCTTTGGGACATCAGTTCAAATTCAACCCTACGAAGGATACGGCCAAAGCCGCAAGCCATCAGATTTGCAGTCGAATTCGCACCGAGCAAACTCGTCTCGGCCAGAAGGTGCCTGCCGTCGATTTAATTGCTAGAGATGATTGCAAAGGAAGTTTGATGGTCTGGAGACTATCACCACTCCGCTTTCGGCATATCTTCCTCCTCGTAATGTTGATTATATAGACTACGAAACTGTTGTTGAAGAGTAAGCAAATCGGTCGTACAAGCTATGTTGTTGGTCGTCTGCGCCTCTGTGGGAGCCGTCTTGGCTCATATAATATGACATCAATGCCAACAACCAAGGACCAGTTGAGAAAGTCTTGTTAGTCCATTTTGATGAAGATAATAAGTTGGGCAGAGCAGCTTTCTTTCTGGCCAGTGGTGGGCTAGAGCAGTAAAGATGCATCAATAACACATTTGTTTAGGAATCGTTCTTAAATCACGTTGTCTTCATCCGGACCTTAGGTTCATCTTCTCTTTCTTATGGAGAGCAGTATTTGTTGTATTTACTCTCAACTGCGGCAGCGACAGCTCTATGGTGTGTGTGTGTGTGTGTGTGTGTGTTCGGGACTAAGTAGAGTTACAAAGAATAGGATTCTTCCTTCCACAGCTTTTTCAGCTCCGATGAGGTGCAAATCGCAGTCCATAATTCTCGAAAAACAAAAGAAGAAAAACACTGGAAGGATTTCCAAGAAAAATCAGAAACCTCAAATGTACTCATGACCTGAGCCGAACCTTTGTAAAATTACTACCTCAGCGTGACATGAGCTAGTCTGCCTCACTTCTATGTGACATGATCACCTAGTAGTACAAGATGAAGAGAAAACGCAACGAAGTGTCCTCTCAGATTATAGAACTTCAAGAAAACAAAGAAGCCCGTTACGAGTACAACGGGATCACTAACAAGTATAGCAAATTCTGATGGCCACACACAGGGAAGAAATCAGGGTCTAGCAACAGCAGAAGCACAGTCCTCTACTCTATGCCCATCGCTTTCTTGTGCTCCAAGATAAAGCCATACACCTTTCGAGGGTCTGGGAGAGATTTGGACACGCTCTCCTCTTCCATGCACCTCTTGGCCCATGCAACGAGCTTGGGACACTCACTTCGATGCTGAAGTTCCCACACATCTCATAGGAGAAGAAATGGCTGTAGAAGCCGATGAACGATATGTCCAAGAACCCGAACTTCTTGCCCCCAAAAAAGGGCTTGTCTCCGAGCTCACTTTCTACTATTTTCAGGCTTTCGATGAGTTCCATCTTCGCTGCCTCCTGTTCTTCCCCTTTCATCAACGACACCTCCTTCCCAGAATCATAGAACTGCAAAATTGTTGACCGGTACCGGATCAGAAAGGATCATAGATTCATCACGAGCTGACTATTAGTATTAGTACTTCATGCTTCATTATAATTTGTGCAACGTCACCAACTTCCAACATTTGTCAAACTTATTAGTTATTACAAGAATTCGGATGTCCAACCATCTAGTTCATGTTGAGGGTGACATTTTGCTTACAGTTAGTGTTTGTTAATTTCAGTACATGTATAATGAAAAGCAATACAAAGACTAAATGATGGTGAGTTGATGATGACGATTTAAGCACCGAGCCATATGCGAGATCAGATTATCTTTTTTCACATTCAACGTGAGATCCAAATAGATAAAAATGATTGCTCCAATAAAAAGAGCATATAAATGTCCACGGATCAAAGAATCATTAACGAACGTACACAAGGTTAAAAACAGAGGAACGAATACCTTCTTGCCGATGAAATCAGCCCAGAATCTGGCTCGGTCTCGCTCGTAAGGATTGGATGGCAAGAGAGGGGCCTGGTGGCTGCAGGTCTCATTGATGTACTCCACCATGACGAGGGACTCGCACACGGGCTTGCCATTGTGGATGAGGACAGGGATTTTCTTGTGGACAAGGTTCATCTGAAGGAGGAGCTCACTCTTGTTCCCCACGTCCTCCTCCTTGTACTCGTACTCGACCCCTTTCTCGGCCAGCGCTATTCGGCACCTCATTCCGAACATGCTCAGCCAGAAGTCCAAGAGCGTCGCTTCATCGGCCATTGCCATCAAAGTCGTGCGTGTGACCCTTGAGAATCGAAGCAGAGTAATATCGAAGAGTTAAGGAGCGAATAACAGTGACCGTTGAGCAAGCACTCGACGCACGAGAGCGGAGTAATACTTGTAAGCAAAATAAGAACGTTACGTCAAAACTCAAAAGCATTGGCGCACTGTTTTTCTGGGAATATATCATTTATGGTCACGGACGGCATTAAGAACTGGTCGTTTCTCAGCATATTTCCAAGGCTTAAGTCTCATCTTCTTGGAACTATAGTAAGTATTTTGTGCGAATAATAACTGGTCAATCACATTTTCCTGAAATACTCATTTCTCATTAAATTAAATATTAGTGTTTGAAATATTAAACATTTCCTCGCTTCTTGATGACCCGGAATGCGCCGGCTATATAGGACGCTTTCTTAGCTTAGCTCTTGAAAACACACAATTACACCCGATTCTCTATATCAATGAAACTTCTATTTTTTACAATCATTAATTTTAATCTTAATTTAACGAGGATCCATGTATTTTTAAATCACCAAGACCGACTTCTTCAAAAGGATAAAAAGGTCACCAAATAATGATAGCTCTAACGGGGGAGAAGGGGAGGAGTGAGTAATGTGTCCTGACTCCTGAAATTGTTCAGGCACTTTCAATGCCAATTACAATAATCAGTTGCATAACAATCAAGCCTTCGGACTGATTAAGTAATGAGATTGATGGTTATAACTGGTCGAAGAGGATCTGAAATAGTTGCTTCACAAGATGGAGAACATAAAGTAGTTCCGGACTAAAGGCAGTCAAGAGAAGGCTTCTTCCTTCCACTGCTTTTTCAGCTCCGATAGGTATGCAAATCGCAGTCCATAATTCTCGAAGAAAAAATTGAAACTTGGGAAGGATTTCGAAGAACATCCGAAAACTTGAAATGTACTCATGACCTGACCAGAACCTTACATTATTTCAGCATAACATCAGCTAGCATGCCTTACTTCTATGTGACATGATCGCCTAGTAGTTCAAGATGAAGAGAAGACACAACGAAGTGTCCTCTCAGATTACAGAACTTTAGGAAAGACAAAGAAGTCCCTTACGAGCACAGGATCACCAACAAAGACAGCAAATTCCGACCACCACAATGCGGGAAGAAAACAGGGTCTAGCAAAAGCGGAAGCATAGTCCCCTACTCTATGCCCATCGCTTTCTTGCACTCCAAGATGAAGGCACACAGCTTTCGTGGGTCGGGGAGAGTTTTGGACAAGCTCTCCTTCTCCATGCATCTCTTGCTCCAAGCAACGAGCTTGGGGCATTCAGCTTGGATGCTGAAGTTCCCACACGTCTCGTAGGTGTAGAACCAGCAGTTTAAGCCGATGATCGCTATGTCCAAGAACCCGAACTTCTTGCCCCCGAAGAAAGCCTTGTCTCCGAGCTCACTTTCTACTATTTTCAGGCATTCGATGAATTCCTTCTTCGCCGCATCCTGTTCTTCCCCTTTCCTCATCCACAACTTCCTCCCGAGATCATAGACCTGCAAAATTGTTGATTTTTATAATTTGCTTCATAATGGTACCGGATCGGACAGAATCATTAGAATCATCACAAGCTGAGTATTAATTAGTAATAGCAATTCGTGCTGCAATGTTACCTGTGCAACATCATCAACTTCCAACATGTGTCGAATTTATTACAAGAATTCCGCCGTCCAACCCTTTCTAGCCCATACGGTTCTATTTGTTAATTTCAGTACATATTAATTGAAAAGCCATACACCTTACCAAAAAAAAAATAAAAATGAAAAGCCATACAAAGACTAAACGATGGTGAATTGATGATGAAGAGTTAAGCACCGAGCCATAGGCGAGACCAGAAGATCTTTTTTCGCATTCAGCATGAGATCTAAAGAGCTTAAAATGATCGCTCCATTATAAAGGCGCGCAAATGTCAACAGATTGAAGAATCATTAACGAATTAGACAACTATAAAAACAGAGGAACTAATACCTTCTTGTCGACGAAATCAGCCCAGAATCTGGCTTGGGCTCGCTCGTACGGATCCGACGGCAAGAGAGGGGCCTTGTGGCTCCAGGTCTCATCGATGTACTCCACGATGATGAGGGACTCGCAGACGGGATTGCCGTTGTGGATGAGGACGGGTATTTTCTTGTGAACCGGGTTCATCTGAAGGAGGAGCTCGCTCTTGTCAAACGTCAAGTCCTGCTCCTTATACTCATACTCGACCCCTTTCTCGGCCAGCGCTGCTCGGCACCTCATCCCGTACATGCTCGGCCAGAAGTCCAGGAGGGTCACTTCATCGGCCATTTCCTTTCAAAGTCGTGTGTTTGGCCCTTGAGAATCGAAGAAGAGGATTATCGAAGTGTTAAGGGGTGAACACCGAACACTATATACAGTTGAGCAGGCGGTCGACCCAAGAGACCTGAGTAATATTTACGGACAAAACAAGAACGTTACTCCCGAACTCTGAAATATTGGCGCACTCTTTTGGTGGGGGTACTTCTTAGGGTCGCGGACGGTACATAGGACATGTCGTTTCTCAGCATATCTCCTTGCAACTAGAGGAAGCATTTTGTAATTTGATACATTTCCTCATTTTTTGACGACACGGAATGCGCCGGCTGTATAAGACGCTTTCTTACGCAAAACACACAGATGCACATGGTTTTCTATGTCACTGAAACTTCTATTTTAATCATCATGAATTTCAATCTTTAATTTAACTAGGGTACATGCATTTTTAGTCACCCATTTCAATCTTAATTTGCAGGCACAACTACCACAAGCGGTTAGAACTCAGCTACTGCAAGCGGGAGCGCGTCAGGTTTGTGAGACATCAGGGAGGCCACCACAACCGTCGGTTCATCCCAGAAAAGCCATAAAAACCTCAGCTTCGTGGAACATCAGCGACCACACCTAGAAGGTGAGATTTCAGATGGGAAATTTACCTTCTTGTCAACATAGTCGGCCCTGAACTTGGCTTGAGCCCACTGGTTGGGGTCGGAAGGCAACAGGGGACACTTGTTGGTCCAGGTCTCGTCAGGGATCTTCTATTAGAATATTTAGATAGTCCCATTGACTGTTCTAAAAATTTAAACTGTTGGACGAAAAAGTGATTTAATATTTAAATATTCTAATACATGTAGGCATTTAATTGAGGAGGTAAATAGGGGGCCCGGAAAGATTTGATTTTGGGACCTTCTGCTCAAATACCACGTGAGATTTGATAAGATCACTGTGGACTGCTCAAAAGTCTTAAATTGTTATATGAAAACGTAATTTAATATTTAAATATCTTAACATCTTCTTATGGATGGGGTTCATATGAAGGAGAAGGTCGCTCTTATTCCACAGGTCCTCTTCCTCAAACTCGTATTTGACCCCTTTCTCTTCATCCTGCACCATCCTGAATATGGTTTGGCCAGAAGTCCAGGAGGATCACATCGTCCGCCTTTGCTTCCGGTCACCACCCATCTTGAGAAGTAGAGCAATCACGATTCTCAACCGCTTCGGTTCGTGAATATGTTTGTTAAATGATATGTATTATTGATAACTCTATATAGATAATCAATAAAAAATTGACAGCATCATGTAGTAAATATATTTTAGGAAAAAGTTTTACTACATATAGCATTATTACTAGTTTTTCTTTTCTAAGTTCACAATTGGTTAATTTTTTAAAATTAAATACTCATATATAGAATATCACGTTGTAATATATTATGCCGATTTTGTAAAGGAAGAATACTAACTATCATTAAGAATATTTAAATAATAAACGATAGTTTCATCCAATAGCTTAAACTTTTTTGGTTGTTGTTCCATAAAAGGTCTTAAGTTCAAAATTTTACAAATATATGAAGATTTATATGCAAAATTAGAATAAGTGAGATTGTAAATCGAGAATATGCCCATGTATTTGCACCAAACGATGGGCGGTTATTAACTTTTGTGCCTGTAACCTTTTGAAAACATCAAAATATATTCCATCTTGTAATCTTGGAGAGAAAATGATCAATATTGTAAGTAGTAGAATTTGATCCTCGCCAAGCAGGATATGGATTCGACTAAAGGTTTGCGGCTCTGCACAAATCATAAGATGCATTAGCCCCGTGTTTCAAAGCCAAACTAAATTTCGCCACATCCCTTAGTACACCATCTTCGTTTAGTTTAGTCCTTTTACCATACTTTGCTGATAGTTATTCATAACCTAAATATGTAACATTTGGAATGGAGTATGATCGTTTAAGGTCGCGTGGTCCCTTTTTATACCAGATGTTTGAAAGATCGGACGGGCGTAACTTTCATAGCACTGGATTTTTCTGATTCTGCGGGCTGAATTCTCTTCTCTTTTGGAGAAATATCTTCTCTTGAATTTTGTGGCTGTGTTAGTAAGGTTGTGGTTGATAATGGTCTTAACATCGCCGGGACGAAAACGACTAGAAAACTCGTTTTCTTTCTTCTTTTTTGACTTTGTCATTTCATTAGAGTCCACGAAATCAATCACCGCCATCTTTACCAACTCCTAAGCGTACCAAGATGCATCGAGTACAAATAAATAAGACAGATAATGAATGACAACAAAGTCAAGTCCGAGTCCTAGTCCAAGTACATGGAGATATTCTTGTTTAGGAATAATAACACGAATGGTTTCTAAATTTTAGCTTAATATGTAATGTGATCTCTGAACTTTTAATTTGTTCAATGTTGTCTCTGAAATATATGACAATACTCAATGTAGCCCTTCCATTAATTTAAGATCATAGACAACATTGAACATTTTCATATAATTCAGGAACTAAATTGAACATGTACAAAAAGTTCATGGACTACATAAATATCTGATTTGCTGTCATTTTCTTACATAAAGATTGTTTTATTAAGAAACTTTAGCTCTTTTTTTTTCTTTTTTGAGTTTATTTTTTATGGAAATAAAAAAAATTATAAAAGGAAGAAAAATAAAGAAAACAAAGAAAGGGAAAAAGGAAAAAAATCAAAAGAATCAAAAGACGAAAATGCCCTCGACTCCGGTGAGGTCAAACCCTTTTTTTTTAGACTGACGTGGCCACTCCAAAACTCTTTATTTGAAACAATATTAACTTCATATACTTATTTGAGAGAATGAGCCTAATGCTGATGGAGTGGTGGCAATGACCGGCAACTCTCGCCAGAACCGGGAGAGGGTGTCTATATATTTTCACGCTCTAGTCTTACGCAAAATCGATCCTATTTGTGAGAAAAAGTGTTAGAATATTTATACTATGTCGTTTTGACTTATTCTATATATATATCGGGATTTATATGCAAAGTTATAATGGTGAATCCGACAAAGGGGATATTAAAAAAAATTCAGTGAAACTTTACTACATCACCTAATATATAATTTCAATAATATCACACATTAGTACCCATCTCTCAAGGCAATTGCTGATAATTTCTTTGTGGGGGCGGGGTGGGACTTTCCATGGAATTTACGGTCGAGAGAGACAGGGCACGTGCTCGAGATTTTTCTCATCGTTTCCAAAAACGACGTATGCGAAGACCGACGAGTCGTCCATGGTGTTGCTAGCGTTGATTTATTTCTAGACTCTTCTGTGAAATATTCGTCATCGCAACTTGCTTTCCCAGCAAGACAAGGCCCCGAAAAAGAAAAAGAAAAGAAAAAGACACACTGTAAATTAGAAAATAATAATAATAATAATAATAATAATAATAATAATAATAATAATAATAATTTGTTCCCTCTTTATGTGGGCTTTCGTGTAGTGATTCTTTAAGATGGGCCCTCCCAGAAAAAAGTAATTTTGTTCAGTTGCTCCTGTTGAATGCCTATTGCTTTTGGAAACTGCGAGAGGAGGGATCAGTGTTATTTTGCTTCGAATTTCTTCTCTCTTTTTTATTTTTCTGGAAGAGCAAGTTCTTCTCTGTGAACTTGTTGCTTCTTTAGATTAAATTCAAGAGAGAAGTACCACTATTTCTAATGTTCATCAGGGGGAAAGCAAGATATGACATTGCAAGTGGTAGATAAGCTGATAAACGATGCTTCTCAAAGTCAGCTAGATTAAAGCGATCACATGCCACCAAGCAGTTCAACTTCCTCCCTCCACTCTCTTGCATGAAGAGCTTTTCTCTACCGTCTGGGTAGCTTCCCTTACATCATCAAAACCCTAAACTAAACCCTAGCGTCTTCTACTCATAGAAATGGAGCAATCGGTTTGCCCTATTCCTTGTGGGTAAGCTTTCCGTCAACCCTTTATCTCTTTCCCTAACCCTAAACTATATCCCACCCCCGATCGCTACAAATTTCCACATATACATCCTTCAACCACAACAGATTTCCACAAATACACTTGACAGCATCACTCAAGGAGTGCAGAGAATAGAATGTTCTCGGTATTGTTGAAAGGTTCCTGCCGTGAATGGATGCTACTTGAAACATTAATGGGTCGAAGATCTTTGGCCAGTTGGTAAAGGATTCCACTACAAAAAAACATGTAATTTGCGACGGAAATTTTCCGTCGGAAATTTGCGACGGATTATATTTTCCGCCGCAAATTAGCGACGGTTTATTTCCGTCGCAAATTTGCGACGGATGAAAAATCCGTCGGAAATTTGCGACGGAATTTTTATCCTTCGCAAATTTGCGACGGAAATAAAAAACCGTCGCTAATTCCGTCGCAAATTTGCGACGGAAAAAAGTTCGTCGCAAATTTCCGACGGAAAAAAAAACCGTCGCAAAATCCGTCGCAAATTTGCGATGGAAAGAAGTTCGTCGCAGATTTGCAACGGAAAAAAATCCGTCGCAAAATTTTTGTCGCAAATTTCTGACGGAAAAAAAAACCGTCGCAAATTTGCGACGAAAACGCACGTCCGTCGCAAATTTGTAGTTTATTAGCCCGTGATATTCCAGCCCTATCTCTCTCTCTCGCTCTCTCTCGCTTTTCTCCCTCTTTCATATGTCTGAAATCAGCAAAATCCGCGCACGCACATATTAATCTCGATGAAACTTTTGTACCGGTAAGTATCATAGCTAGCTTCGTGACTATTCATCGTTGAATTGTAATTTCTTTTATTTTATATATGTTTATGTTTGTTTTTTTTTCGTATCTGCATCACCGGTTTAACGACCGGCGACACCTCGCCGGCCTTTGGATGAGGCCGAACGGCCACGCCGTTTTGCGACGGAAATAGTTTCCGTCGCAAATTTGCGACGAAATCAAGTTGATCCGTCGCAAATTTGCGACGGAATCAAGGAAATCCGTCGCAAATTTGCGACGGAATCAAGGATCCGTCGCAAATTTGCGAGGGATGAATTCCGTTTCCATCGCACATTAAAAATTATTAAAAAATGATTCTTAAGTGATTATTCTTTTTGGGTATGTGTCTAATTGAAGGTCTCGCAATCCAAGTGGATGTTGCAATTCTCATCAAATTGACCACTTTCTCCTACCAATATTTCAGTCAAATATTTGGGTAAGTCTTCTTTACATGGTAATTTTTTATATTTTTGCAATTTCATATTAATTGTTGCGTGAATAACAAA